CCCCTCTCTTTCCCTGCCACCTCTGCACCATCCTTTTCAGCACCTGACCTGGAGGCGATCCTTCCACTGAATGACTGCATGAAGGAACTCATCTTTAATAAAAATGTTGGTGAAGACCTTCCTGTACCAGAGGTTCCCCCACCCCTCTGGGCGGATCTGCATCCATCCAGCCAGCCACCCACTACCCATGCAACTGCCTGCCCATCTATCCATTCATCACGCACCCAACCATCCATCATCCATCCACCCAACCGTCCATCATCCACCCAACCACCCAACTGTTCATCATCTCTCTGTCCACCCAACCATCATCCATCCAACCGCCCGTCTATCCATCCCCCTGACAAGCATTTCTCAAGCCCTTTTAGGAACTAACCCCCAGCCCAGTCCCAAGGAGAGGCACCCTATGGACCAAGAGCTTGTGCTGTCAGCTGGCCCGCTCACCTGGCAATCTCGGCAATCTCGGCTGTCTGCACGATGAAGCCGTAAGGGTCGGGCTCTTTTTCCTCGTCATCTGTGTCCCGGAGGCCAGGGGCCCGGGCTCGGGCCCGGCCAGAGCTGCCAGCCCGCGGGGTCTGTGTGGCCGTTGAGGCACGGGGGCGGGCGTGTTTGGGGGAGCCGTGGTGGGAGCCATACTCCTCCTCGGACGTGGATGTGCAATCCGAGCCCTGCTGCCGGCGACGCACGTCTCGGGTGAGTGAATTGGTTCCAAAAGCAAGAACAGAACAGAGCAGCCCTCAGCACCTGCGGCAGCCCTGAGGCCCCTCCAGGCAAGGGCCCGGTGCTGCAGGATGAGCTGTGTTGCGGCTGGCAACCCCACACTCAGACGCCCTTTGGCTGAAGAGCCAGCAGCTGCTGGGCTCTGGGGACTGCAAGGCCATTGCCAGCCCAGAAGCACGTGCACAGATGGGCAGCCTGGCGTGTCCATGGGCCCTTGTGGAGCAGCTTTGGGTTGTGGCTGGTTGGCAGGGGCAGGGGCCACGTTCTGGGGGAGGGGTGCCCTTGGTTAAGGTTAGGGTGAGGGAACTGGGAATTGGTGCCTGCAGACACGCCAGGTGGGGGTAAACCACTGCACGTGGATCAGCCACGGCCCTGGGCTGGACCGCACCGTGTGGCCGCACAGCCCGTGGTCAGAACCCAGCTCAGCCACCGCAGCCCCTCCCTGCACCTGCCCGCCTCAACCCCGACTGCTCGCCCACCCCTGTGCTGAGCCCCTGTGGTGGCCACAGACGTGCACAGTACAAGGGTGGGGCAGCGGGTTCCCACCAAGCAGGTGTGGCCCTCAGCCCTTGGCCATGGGGCAGATGCCACCTTGGCCCCCTGAAGACCTGGCAGGCAGGGAGGGGCCCGAACTCCAAGGCCGTGGGTGCGGGAGGGGTCGGGGGTTGGGGCAGGTGTGGCAGCAGCAGCACGGGGCTGGACCAGCAGTGCCGACACCTTAGACCAATTCATTCAGAGGATGGGTCAGTCCCCCCACAGGGTGAGCCTGGCTGCAGGGATGCCCACATCCACCCTGGCAGGAGCTGGCCCCGGTGCCACGGCAGCCGTCCCTCCCTGCTGCACACACGGGGTCCGCAACTCCAGGGAGGGGCAGGCCCAGCCCCCTGTCTGCAGTCACCCAGGCCTGCTCGCGAGTCGGGGGCAGTCCCTCCAGGCTGGAGATGGTCGGGGTTTTCTGTGTTCACACCAGGACCGCCTGGAGGCTGCAGGAGGCTCGCCACCCGTGCACAGCCGGGTGCACGTGTATGTGCGTGTGTCAGGGGGAGAAACACCCGCCGATGGGAAGGAGCTCCTCCGGGGCCAGGACTGGGGGCCCTGCAGCTGGTGCAAGGCCAATGCACAGGAACCTGCAGACACACTGCGCGCGCCGACCGGACCCAGGGCCACCCTCCTGCTCCCCACACTCACTGGGTGAGGAGTACCGGGCGCTGCCCGGGCGGGCCCTGCTGAAGGGCTGGCGGGGGGCTGTGGTGGCGTTGGCGGCCTTCCTGGCGGTGGCCCGAGCCTCAGCCACGGCGGGCTTGCGGCCGGCGCAGTACAACTCAACGCTGCGGCCGGAGAAGCCGGCGCGGGTGGGGGCCGCCTCCGAGTCACTGGGCCCTGTGAAGGAGCCGGCCCGCTTCCGGGGCATAGCCAGGATGTCCAGGCGTGACAGCTTCTTGGCCTGCTCGGCAGCCGGCTGCCCCGCCGGCTCGGGATTGGCCGGGGGCCCCCGTTCGCCATCTGCGGCCTCTGTGTCCGAGGCATCCCCCAGCCGGGCCCGCCTCAGCCGGGAGGCCCGCGTGGGCCGTGGGGCAGACAAGCTGTTGGAGCGGGTCAGCGCCAGCTGCACCTTGTGGAGGCCGGCTGAGCCGCGGCTCTGTTCTTCCCGGGCAGCAGGTGACGGCGGTGGGGCCGTGGGTTTCCGGCGAGGGCCCCGCCGCCCTGCCCCCATGGCCCCGGAGCTCTCGTGGTCAGAAGTGACCGTGTCCACACCGGGCAGGTGGGCATGGCTGGAGCCTCGTTCCTCATCGGGCCAGTCCAGGGACCCTCGGGGCCCGTGGCCACGCCGTGCAGCCAGGCGCCTTGCCGGCTCCCCGCGTCCCGCATCTGCTGGGCCCGGCGGGCGACGCTGCTTCTCTGAGAGGCGCTCGCGGGCGCTGTTCAGGCCGCCACCCACCCCGTCCTGCGCTGCCGGCGGGGACGGCGGCTTCTCCTTCTGCAGCCCCGAGGGCTGCAGGCTGGGCCCGTTCTTGCCGCTGAGGAGACTGACGGTGCTGGCCGTGTCCACGTCGGAGTCCCCGGACAGGGAGTCCTCTGGCGGCCCAGGAGCGCCGCCCAGCTCACCTTCCGGCTCCTCCACGGACTTGGAGAGCAGTCTGGCCTCCAAGGCGGCCAGCGCCGTCTCTGTCTCCTTCAGGATCAGGTGGGTGTCCTGAGAGTGCAGGTCCATGCGTGCGGCCCGGGCCGCGGCCAGGTCCTGCAGGAGGGGGTGGCTGCTGATGTACGGCAGCTGGCCAGGAGCTGCAGGGCCGCTGGCCGGCTCCTTGGTGAAGCTCTCCTGCCGGACGAACGCCGGGGCCTCCTTGGGGGGAGCCGGGGCGGGGCCCTCAGGCTCCGGGGACCGCCCTGTCCGCAGCTGGATGACCATCCTCCCACTGGTGCTGACGTACGCGCTGTCCTGTGTCGGGGGGCTGGGCTGCGCTGCCCGCCCCGGGCCCTCCACCTGCCCTGGAGCCACAGTAGCTTTCCTGGGGAAGGCCGCCTCCCCGTTCTGGTCCCCAGCGAAGAAAGAGGTGGGGGCCGGCTCCCCAGGGGCCCTCGGTGAGCGCCGGCCCCTGCTCCACGCCGGTCCCTCCTGGGGGCTCCCGCATCTTTCTTCCTGCAGGCCCCCGCCTGGCTCAGGGCCCCGGCCTCCGTCCGACCCACTGGCATCACTGAGACTGTCGGGCTCCACGTCTTCCTGTCCCAAGAGGAGGCCGGCCTGCTCGCTGCCCAGCTCCGGCGGCCCCGGCCCGCTCCTCCTGGTGGCCTCGGCGCCGGCGGGGCTGTCCGCCCTGTCGCTGGGCAGCTGTGGGAGCAGCCGTCGCTGGCGCACAGGGAGAGCCCCCTCCAGCTCTCTGGCTCTGCGCCCGGGGCCGTCGTCTGGAAGACAAGGGGGCTGGTGCGAGTGAGCGCTGCCCGCGGGCCCACACGAGGAGCTGGCCCTCCCCCGGGCACGGTGACGTGCGCTCGCATCTGCCTAGTTGGTGGCCTCAGGCTACCCCCTCCCTGCTGAAGCACTGGAGCCACTTACCTGACAGGCCTGGGTCCGAGTAGCTGTCGGCCAGACTGGCCCAGCGGGACACCCACTTCTGACCCCCGGGGGAGCCCGGTACCGGGAGGCCCTACGGAGAGGAGGGCAGGAGCGTGTCCGCGGCAGGGAGAGACAGGAGCCCCACGGGGAGGTGCTGGGGGCAGGAGGGGGCAAGGCAGCCCGCCCCAACACCTGGCCCCCACACCATCCCCGTGCCTGCCACCTGCCCCCCAACAGAAGCAGCCAGAGGGCCCCTGTGGCCTCACCTGGCTTGCATAACTACCCACGTCTCAGCCTGGCTCAGTGGCTTGGAGGTCAGTGGTCCCCACCCCCCGGACTCAGCCAAGCCCCGCCCGTGGTCACATACACCCAGGCACCCTTGACCCTCTGCACAGGTGGGCGCCAGGGCCCGGAGCCCACAGCTCGGGCAGGACCAGAGCCTTCGATTGCATATGGGACGCAGTGACCGGGGCCCCAGCCCAGACGCTGTCCTCTCCCCGCCCAGTCCCTCCCCAGGGACATGTCTGGGGCTCAGTCCCACACACCTGGAGCTCCACCGGGGGGGTCCCGCCCCCACCCACTGGCCGGGAGGCAAACTCCTGCAGCAAGGCCATCCGCTGGGCCACTCCGTCACCAGGCTCGTCTCTGTCCCCTCTGATAACTGGACGGAAGATGGCCGAGGACGCTCTGGAGAGTTCAGGGGACTCCCGTACCCCAAAGACCTGCCGGGAGGGACAGCCGGGCAGCAGGTCAGAGCCCACGCCCGAGGCCGGCCTCCCAGGCTCCGGCTGCAACACGCGCACCTGGTCGATCATCCTGCGGGCCTCCTCCACCTCCCGGTCCTGCGCCTCCGTGTCGATGGTGTAGGTCCCCGCGTCACTGAGGCTGTCGTCCTCCTCCTGTTTGCGTGCCTTTGTCACTTGGGGGTCAGCAGGGGGTGGTGGTGGCGGTGAGGGGGCCGCGGAGCTGGCCCCGCGGGGTAGCAGGGGGGCAGGCGGCGTCGGGGGCGTCTTCTCGGGGCCCGACCGGGCAGCTGGGGAGCCGTCCCGCAGGCACTGGGCCATGAAGTCCTGGGCCAGGCGGGAGCGGCGCCCCACGCTGCCGAAAGGGCGAGCTGGGGCCCGGGCGGCAGGCGAGGGGCCGCCCAGCCGCTCCTCCGCCTTCTCCCGCTTGAGCGAGCCGGCCCGCTGTGGCCCCGAGCTGCCGCCCGCCCCCCGGGCCGAGGCCAGGGTGGGGGCGGCCGGGCGGTCCCTGTCGGCCGGCCCGGGGCCACGGCGCCTGTCCAGCCTGGGGTCCCCGGGTGGCGTGTGTGTGAAGGACTGGGAACGCTTCTTGCGCGGCGTGTCCTCGTCGAAGAACTCGATGACGAAGGCCTGCTGGCTGTGCAGCAGCTCCTGGGGGTCCCGCTTGAGCTGCCTCTGTAGCCGCACCTGCTCCCCGCCGGCCTCCGAGGGGACCCCAGCAGCCCCAGCCGCTTGGGCCATGGGGTCCTCCGAGTCGCTCTGCGTGCCATCCTCGTGCTTGTGGCCTGGAGGGGGTGGGGGCCCGACGCGTGAGGCCGAGGGAAAGGAAACGCCCGGGGGCCGACACACAACCGTTGCCGTCGCGTGGTCGGGGACACACCACCCCACCGTGAACCCAGCCCACGTGGCCCAGAGGAGCAACAGGACCAGGCCGGACGGCCCCCGACGGGGCAGGCGGCTCTCAGGCAACGTAAACAGACCAGGGGGACGAGGCCGCCGAGGTGAGGGCAGGCAGCCGTGCGCTCACCCTTCAGGGTGCGCGTGTGCACTGGCAGGTCGCTCTTGGTGCTGTGCCGGTCGTCAGCGGGGCCGGCCCGGTGCAGCAGGCTGGGGTCGCTCTGCACCAGCCAGTCGGCCACCTTGGTCTCCGCAGAGACCATGTCGATGGGCGCCGGCTCCGGGCCAGGGGGCCGGCGCCAGCGCGCCGAGAACTTGCTGACGTGGTCCTTGATCTTCACCTTGCCGGGGCTGCGGTCGTCGAACTCGATGGTGAAGCAGGCGTGGCTCTGCACCGTGGGGGCCACCCCGCCCCCGCCCACCTCCGCATCCCTGCTGGGGGCCTCGTGTGCCGGCGCCTCTGGGGCCCGCGAGGGGGGGGCCTCCTTGGTGGGGATCTCGAAGTAGCTGGGCTCCCGCCGGAACGAGTAGCCCTGCGGCTCCGCGGGGACCCGGAAGGCGGCTGTCGTCCCCACGAGGTCACTGTCCCGCTGAGCCAGCTCCTTGGGCCGCTCTGTGGGGGGACACGTGCTCAGGCCAGGCGCGTGCTCACGGTGGCACCCTCGCCCCACCCACCTACGCGAGGACCGTGGGCGCCGTGTCTTCCTGCCCACGGCCCCGCCGAGGGCACCTCCAGAGCAGGCTGCCCTCCAGGACTTACCCGTGTCGGGTTCATCCTGGCGCCGCTCCTCGGGCGGGCTGCTACCATCGTCCTCACCCCACCAGGAGGGCTGCCCGTACAGTGGTGTGCGGTAGGCCGCCGCCTCTGCAGAGGGAGAGTTGGACCCTGGGTCCCTGTGGCCCCAACACAGACAGAGGTGGAGACCCGGAGCTGGGGAAGATGCTGGGGTCTGCAGGGGGCCCCGGCACCACCTCCCAGCTCGGATCTGCAGCTGCCCAGAACCTTAGCCAGCCACCCTGAGCCCCATTTCTGCAACCCTGGCGGGTAACAAAGGCAGTGACAACCTCCCCATGGGGTGGCTGTTCCAGGGAGGCTCGTCCCTGGGGTTGCACTGTCCTCAGCACTGCGGTTCTGGGGCAGGCAATCCCTTGAGCCCGGCCTGGGCCCTCTGCCCCTAGGGCCTGCCCGACAGAGGGGCGGGAGGACAGCAGTGAGCCCCACCCAGGGCTGGCCTCTCCCCCAGGGCCTGTAAATGGTTCGGGTCACTAACAGGTGACCTGGGGCTGAGAGCCACTACAGTCTGACTGAACCACATGGGGCAGGTGGCTGTTTCTATAGGCGTGCAAGAGTGCACAGTGAGTGTGGCTACAGGGGGG